CAACTGTGGTAACAAAACTGCAGCCAGTCGTAGCCGCAGAAGACAGGACAGCAGGAAGGCTCGTCTATCCCTCAGTCTAGTCTATCCGTCAGTCTACCCCTCATTCTAGTCTATTCCTCAGTCTAGTCTATCCGTCAGTCTACCCCTCAGTCTAGTCTATCCGTCAGTCTACCCCTCAGTCTATTCGTCAGTTTCGTCTATCCGTCAGTCTACCCCTCAGTCTAGTCTATTCCTCAGTCTACCCCTCAGTCTATCGGTCAGTCTATCCGTCAGTCTACCCCTCATTCTAGTCTATCCGTCAGTCTACCCCTCAGTCTAGTCTATCCGTCAGTCTATCCGTCAGTTTACCCCTCAGTCTATCCGTCAGTCTACCCCTCAGTCTATCCATCAGTCTACCCTTCAGTCTATCTGTCAGTCTATCCTTGATCTACGCTGTGGTTTCTCAGTCATGGAGGAACAGACAGAATCTACTTTGTGCACAGGTTTGGTCAAGTTTCCCACCAAGAGCCAACCCACCAAGAGCCAACCCACCAAGAGCCAACCCACCAAGAGCCAACCACCAAGAGCCAACCCACCAAGAGCCAACCCACCAAGAGCCAACCACCAAGAGCCAACCCACCAAGAGCCAAGGAAATCTTTCCCTACCGCAAAGTCAAGAAACGCAACTTGCCGACTCCGTCCAAAGATCTTCCACACAAAATGGTAGTGTTTAGTTCACTTGTCCAAAGATCTTCCACACAACATGGGAGTGTTTAGTTCACTTGTCCAAAGATCTTCCACACAAAATGGTAGTGTTTAGTTCACTTGTCCAAAGATCTTCCACACAACATGGGAGTGTTTAGTTCACTTGTCCAAAGATCTTCCACACAACATGGGAGTGTTTAGTTCACTTGTCCAAAGATCTTCCACACAAAATGGTAGTGTTTAGTTCACTTGTCCAAAGATCTTCCACACAAAATGGTAGTGTTTAGTTCACTTGTCCAAAGATCTTCCACACAAAATGGTAGTGTTTAGTTCACTTGTCCAAAGATCTTCCACACAACATGGGAGTGTTTAGTTCACTTGTCCAAAGATCTTCCACACAACATGGGAGTG